TCCTCCTCCTCCTCCTCCTCCTCCTCCTCCCCCCACCCCAACGAAGCACAAAAAAAAAGGAGTAATCAAAGGGAAACACAGGGCCACACACACAGAGAATAAAAAAAAACAACACACACACACAATACATCATTCACACTATCGCCAGCCCTCATCCGCAGCATCATCACCAAGTCTTTGATGATGTTATTGACCACTCGTTTTACCACACACTCGCACCCTCGCGCTCCGCCGCTTTTCAAGCTTTTTAAATTTTATCTTGTTGGGTGTGTGTCTCTCGTTTTAAATGTATTCCTTCTTTAAATGTTAGTCTTACCACCTTCTCTGCCTCGATATCATTGTCTCTCGTTCTCTCTCTCTCTCTCTCTTTGTGTGTGTATAATATATAGACATGTACCCGCACTTTCATGCTGCTTTGTAGTTGCGGTTATTTATTTGTTTCACTCTGTGATCCACGACACATCAGGCTGAGAAAAAAAAAAAAAGACACAGTAGCAGATAATAACGACAAAATCCACCATCTAACGCCCCCTCCAATTATTCCACGTGGAAACAGCTCAAGTAAAGCTGACTCACACGGAGAGTAGACACCTATCTGCTCTTGTTACTCCGTGGACAAACGCAACCTTCCTCGTCCACCTTCGCTTTCTCTTCCTTCTATCTTTTCGTTCTTGTGGAGAGGGAAGGATGTTGCCCTATTACGAGGGATACGGTGGCGGCGGTGGTTTGTGCCCAGTTGGCTTAGACTTGACTGAAGTGCTTATGTACGTGTAGGTGCCGGCACTGCTGCCGCCCAAAATATGGCTTCCACCGAGAACGTTGTTCATGGAGTGGGAAGCATCGTACGGAGTGCCGACGGAGTTCTTCGCTGGGTGCCCGTCGGCCAGCCCACCCACCTGCGCCATAGAACTTCCAAGAAAATAGGGCTGCGATTGCGTGTGTGTTTCAGTTGGCAACGCGTAACGTGGGGGTGGGGAGATCGAAGAGGCGAGGCTGGGTGGCGTGTACGGCGGTGTGGGTTTTGGAATGGGACGCAGCATAAACACCCCGTGCGTATTACGAAGCAGAATTGGCTCCTGCTGCACTGCAGTCATTGGGGGAACATAATGCGCCGCCAACGGTGACAGCTCCATCGGCACTGCTGAGATGGGAGGGGACGTAGCTACAGCCTCCGCAAAGGACGGTGGAGGGGGCTTTGCAACGTGTGAGGCACCTGCCGCATACAAGAAGGGACTGCCTCCGGTTGGCGCTGGTGGACTGTAAACGGGCGGTGCCGCGTGGCCTGCATGCAGGGTGGGAGCGTCTTTCTCCTCCACCACAAAACTGCCAGAGGGCGGCTCCAAGGCATCAACTTCGTCTTCATGGCGTATTCTATGGTTCAGCTCATCCAACAGCCGGAGCAACTCTCGTTCATCATCCTCGTTATTTGCCGCATCCTCCACAGCCTCCATAAAAGGAGAAGTGGTAAAGGCGGACGCAACCGCACGTGTGTGGTTGTCCGCTACTACCAAACTGCCATCCCTGTTATCCACTGCCTTTTCACTTGATTGAAGAACCATCACGCCCCGAAACTGCCCCAATAGATGTTCCGACATCACTGATTGTACTAGATGCTTCCTTCCTGTTCAATTGTTCCACCGTTTTCGTTTTGTTCTTCTCTTTGGTTGTTTTGTAGTTCTTTTGGATGTATTTAAGGTGGAGGTGAGGCAGTTTATTTACTTCACACTCCTCTTTAACTATTGTTTTAGCCTCGCACTTCCTTGTTTTTTTTTTCCTCCCTTTTTGTTTGTTTGATTGTTTTTCTGGCCTTTCTGTATGGGTCTACGTGCGTGCGTTCCTTCCTAGGTAGCGCCGGCACTAAAACTTCTGTTTCCACCGCCCGCCTCTACCGGCGTGGCCGAACGCGATGTGTATATACCAAAGGTTCCTGCACGTGTGAAGGGCGGCAGATGTCGTTACGCCTGCCTTTGCCCACCAGCTACGATACGCTCGCTGTATTTCCTCCTTGATGATGGGGTTTTTGTCTTTTTTTTTTTGACGCTTAGTTGTCAATGCTCCTTCGGTTGAGCTCCTCACGACGGCGGAGGTGCGGGGGGAGGGAAAGCGAAGAGACAAAACGAAACGAAACGAAACGAAGCAAACAAACAAAACAAAAAAAAAAGGCGTGCAGGCCGTCTGTGGCGGGGAGGTTGTGTGCAGCAAAGGCAGCTGCCCAACACGCCTACCTCGTCGACTTCACCCGCTGCACGGGGCGAAGGTAAAGAAAGGGCGAAGCGCCTGACTCCGCCAGACAACAAACAAAACAACAACGCCAGTGATCAAACACCGAGTGTGTCAGAAAATAACAACAACAACAACACACACACACCTGCTGAGCTCAAATAATGACCACAGAACAGCCACTGGCACCCTTGCGCCGTCAGTGAAACCATCGTATCGTTCAATCATATATGTACTATGCAGGCTAAAGACCAGGAAGTGGCGGGGGAATAAGCGGCTGCTGGGTTCGACTAATTCTCCTTGCGCTGAGTGGGCCGCCTGAGTGTCGTGACGTGACCAAAGCCACGCACATATCGACTGTCTTCTGCCATAACGGACGTTGCGCCAGTCGGCCCGCGCCAGTCCTTGCCAGCAACGCGGGAGTGACTTTTATACTTTTGACGCCCCGCCGCCACTCCCCCGTGGAGCTCAACGTCGCGAATGATTGCGAGTACCTCGTCCGACAACGCAGTGCCCTGCTGCTTTGCGATGAAGCGTGCAATAAGCGGGGCACGGCCGTCTCCGGAAAAAATAAACGTGTGCGCCATTCCGCGACGGCCAGCGCGTCCAGTGCGGCCGACGCGGTGCACGTACGCGTCTGCGTCCGCGGGCAGATCAAAGTTGATGACGTGGTCAAGCTCTGGAACGTCGAGACCGCGCGCCGCAACGTCCGTCGCGCAGAGGATGCGAATGCCGCCCTCCTTAAAACTGTTCATGATGTTTTCACGTCGACGCTGCTTCATACCCCCATGCATGCACCCAACTAACTCTGGTGGCGCCCGCAGCGCCGTCCTAAGATCCTCGGCAAGTTTCTCAACCTCCTCCTTGCGGTTCACAAAAACAAGGACTTGTTGCCGCTTCGAGATGACAGCCTTCTCGTAAAGCTGCACGAGAGCGTGAATGCGCTGTGAGGGATCTTGCAGGGCGTACAACTGCTGCGTGATATCTGTGTTCATCTTGTGCTCGCGGTCCACCTCAAGAAAGACGCGTTCCGGCCTGAGAAAGCGCGCAGACAAACCACCCACAGTGGCGTTCCACGTCGCCGTCCACATCGTCGTTTGCCGCGGTCGCTTGAACTTCCGGACGTTTGACATGATGAACTCCAACTGCGGAGCAAAGCCCAGCTCCAACATGCGGTCCGCCTCGTCCATGATGAGAAAGTCAATCCTCCCAAGACCCACGGTGCCGGCTTCCACAAAGTCGCAGAGACGCCCTGGAGTGGAAATAAGGACGTCGCACCCGCCCCATCGCCGCAGGAACTTCAACTGCTGCTCTCGATCCTGCCCACCGAAGGCGCCCTTCACACGCACGGCATTATCGGCCAGTTGCGAAAAAACGCCACGCGTTTGCTGCACCAGTTCCCGAGTGGGACAGAGCACCAACACACGCGGGTCCACCGTCACTGCTTCATCCACACCGCCACCACTGTGACACTCACCCCAGCTGTTGTGATTGGGTGACGGCAATGCTGCGAGAGCGGCAAGGGCCGGCAGTGCAAACGCCACCGTCTTGCCGCTCCCGGTTGGGGCAATGCCAACCACATCTCGCCCTTCCATAAAAAGCGGAATTGCCACGGACTGCACAAGGGCAGGCCTGACGTACCCCGACTGATGAATGCCGTGCAGCAGCCACCGTGGCAGCCTACCTTCGAGCTCTGCAAATGAGTGAAGGCGCTCCACGCTAACGGTGTTGCGCATGTGATCCCGCACAAAAACACGCACCTCGCCTCCTTTTTCACCGGCGTTTAGCACCTGTTTAACCATTTCCTCATTTGCACGTTTTTCTTCACCCTTCGCATCCGGTTGCTTTCCTTCGTCTATGGCCGCCTGCTGCTCGGCTCTGCTTGCGCCACCCTCTACAGTTTCGCAACCATCCCTGGCAGAAACCCGCCGTACAACAGTGGTCGGGTCGGCCCAACAATGTTGCTTCTGCTGCTGGCCTGCGGGCGGCCGCCAAAAGACGGCAGGTGAAGCTTGAACGGTAGACTTCTCCAAATCGGCTGTCACCATTGAGGGGGCGGTGGCAGCACCTGCAATTGTCGCAAGCCTCTGTTGCATTATTTCCTCCATCATTTGTTGAGCCCCTGCTGGGTGCCCAGCATGACTCTGTGCCATGGCTGCACCACGCACTCCTCGAATCCTGGCCTCCTCGACAAAGAGCGAGGGGCTGCAGCTGCTAAAGGTCGAGCTAGTGAGCACCCGGTCAGAGTCGGTAACAGGGGCACAAAGGTCCCCATCATAGATCCTAAGGGAATCGGCCGCTTCCGAGCAGAGGCTCGACATGGCTTTGCCAGCCGCGACCTCGCGGGATACACTGGACACCGTCCCCTGTACTGCCTCCGTAACGGCGTTGGCCACAGGCAGGAAGCTGTGGCTCACCTCACCCCTGGTCGTTGTCGCTTCAGTTGCAAAAGCAGTGCGGAGGGCGGCATCATTGATGTCTGGTGGAAGCGTGTGCCCGAAACGGAGTTGCTGGCGACACGTGTTTCGGCAATCCAGCATGGGGGCCGTGGCCCGACGAGAGGCCCTGAAAAGGTAAAAAAAAGAGAACGGCCTCTGCATTTTATTCCTTCCCCCTCTTTCTTTCTTTATATACGAGGTAGACAAACGTATGTGCCCTTCCTTTTGCTTCACGTCCGCCGCAACCTAAGGTTCCCTGTACCGGGTTTCCCCTGCCTAACACTGCTGATCTCCCGACGGAGAAAGGATGGAACAGGGAGGAAGCCAGCGGATCCACTGACGGAAACAACACCCCTCCCCCACCCACGCACAGAAGAAGTGCTCCGGGCTGACGGCAGCCGTGCAAGGAAGCAAGTGCCCACCGCACACAGAGGGAGGAGGAAGAGAGGGAAACAAGGTCCACCCACCCACACATAGAGCAGAAAACATTAAAAAAAAAACGGAAAGAAAAAAAAACAGGGACAGGGCACGAGTCGATACACACACACTACCGTATCGGCCCAAAGTGAGCCCCATCAGTCTGAAATCCCCTTCACTCCCTATTGTAGGGGGAAAAAGAGCTCTCCCTTTGTAGCCTATTTTTCCCCCGACATGTTTGATTTTGTAACACGGAAGAAAATACAAGCCTGCGTGCATTGAAAGAGGCATACAGTTTAATAATACTCTTCATACAAGCCCAGACCTTTATGACCTCAGGTGCCAAAGTCGTACTTCGGCAGGCCGGAGTGATCTGTGGTGCGACCTCCCTTCGCCGCACCATCGGGGCCGAAGCTGTACGTTGGAAGCTGCGAGTTGCCACTGTTCGAGTTGCGCGAGTGGTGGCTCCCCAACTCAAATGTCAACGCAGGACCCTTTGCTGCGGCCTCACCCTCGAGGTTGTTGAAAAACGATGAGTCCTCAAACTCGATAGTAAGTGGTATTGTGCCGGTGTCTTTGGCGGTTGGGCGAAACTCGTACATGGGATCATCATCAATCGCAATCAAGTCCTCAACAGGCGGAGCAGTTGGGACCAGAGCAGACTCATGTGTATCGTTGGAGAACATGGCGTACGCGCCGCTGCTGCCGCTGCCCATCGCCAACTCCGCGCCCGCATCCCTGTCTAGTGTGGCGCCAAAGTCGAACTCCGGTAACGTGGCTTTGTTTCTCTCCTGCCCCTCCGCCAGCGTAGGAGCAAACATGTCACTTTTCAGATCGGGGATGAACGGATCCAAGTGCTTTTCAGCAGTCTTGGTGCCTTGTGAGGACGTTGGGGCATCCTCCTTTTCCTTGCTCGCGGAAGCACCAAAGTCACCCACCGATGGGAGCCCCTTGGCTCCAAACAACTCCTTCATGGGCGGCATCGCGGTCCCCTCCGCCTTGCTTGAGGCCTCCGGTTTCTCAGGCGGGGAAAGGGGTTTGGTGACATTCGACAACGCCTCCACAAGCTGGCGACGCTCCTCGGCGCTGAGCTCCTTTGAGGAGGTTTTCTGCCACTGCGCTTGCGACGGCCCTGTCGCAAAAAGCGTCGCGACGTCTGATGAGAGGTCTTCCGTCGGCGGATTTTTGCCGCGGGCCCACTTCAACACGTGAGTGACGGTGACGTTCATCATGCGGCGTACCTGTTCCTGCAGTTGCGTCTCCTCGGCTGTCAGAGTGCGAAGTCGCTGGCGGATTTCCTGCACCTCGCGACCAACGGGGGTGGCATCCATGCCTTTGCCACGGATCACGTCCTCCAGGGCGGTGCGTGTCTTCAGCAGCAAATTAATTTGCGACTGGAGCGTCTCCACCTTATTCAGAATGGCACACAGTTCATTCGTCACGTCCGCGCGACTTTGCATTCGTGCAAGGGACTTCTGCTCCTCCTCTAGCGTTCGCACTTGGCTCATTAAGTCGTCGATGCGGGTGTTGATGCGCTGCAGCCGTTCTCGTGCACCTTCCGTGTCCGTCACCGCCTCCTCTGAAATGTCGGTGGTAAGCGAGAGGCCACTAGTGACGGCGCACTGACGCAGATAAGCAGCCACTTCACCCACATAGTTGTCGCGGTATTTGCGGGACAAGGCGAGAAACTGTGCCCCCACCACGCCCTCCACGCGCTGCTTAACCACGGCTGCGGCCATCCCATCCACGCTGGAAAGTGAGCGACGCCGCTCCTCCAGCTCTGCCAGGCGCCGCTCCAACGGGGAGGCATCCTCCTTTTTCGGGTTCCCTTCCCGGCGACGTTCAAGCATGGCTTCGAGCGATATCAGCAGCGTCATAGCCTCGCCGCGGGTCATCCGCTTGACCCCATCATTCTTCGCCCCGCCGCTCTGAGCGTCATTGGCGATCGCAGGGACAACGCCGCGAAAGGAAAGCGGCGGGTGCTTCTCGGGGTAAACGAGGAGTGCAACGACCATCTGGGCAGAGGTTCCATTAATCTCAAACTCCATTTGGCGCTGCGCTGAGGCCGTGATACTGTGCAGTCCGAGTAGCTCGGCGCAGTCCACCTGCGTCTCCCCAATTACTTTCCGCGGCTGACCCCGCATGTACTCCTCTAAGCGGAAGGTGATCCACTTGGGCATAAACCGCGGTGCACCGCTCTTGAAGTGCACAATGGCCGCACCCTCCGGCATCAAACTGAAGTCAACAACACCGCCCCCCGCAATGTAACAAGGCGAGGAACGAACGGTCTCGCCGCGGCGGTAGGCAACGGTGTACTGTCGGCCATCCCTTAGCGCCGCTGACTCCACCTTCAGCACCTTAAAACGGACAATATATGTTTCCGGCATCTGTGGCAGCAAACCGCCTGCGGAAAAACAGTGATGTACGCGGGGGAGGCTTTTGCGAGCAAAATATGTTTACCCAAGCCGGTTCTTCTCTTCCTTCAACCCGCTACTCCTTTGTCGCAGAGAAACAACTCTGCTCTACACTTGACCCACCAGTATTTCTTTCTTTCTTACCTTCTCTGCTTTAAACCTGTAACTTCTTATCCTTCCTCCTTTCGCTGCGGCTGCACGAGGAGGGGCGGACGCAGCTAAAAAAAAAAAAAAAACAGCGGAGAGGAGAGCAAAGTACGGTTGTTGCACGCATGACGGCGACCTCCCCGCAGAGACAAAGACAAAAAAAAAAAGAACCGACGCAGACGCAGACGCGGACGAAGGTTGAGTGCCTCTGCGTGGCGCCCCACACACTCACGCCATGCATGTTTACTTCTTCTCATGGTTTGTTGCTTCGAGACAACACGGGAGAGGCGGTGCACGACGCCCAACAATCAGAGTACCCCTGACAAATAAAAAGGCAAGCCAAAAACAAAATAAAAATGAAAACAAACTTTGACAACAGCCCGAAGGCCACTCCGCCGGCACGGCTTTCGCCACCCCCCCCCCCCCGACCCCGACCCACCCCC